GTGTATCTCCAGTTCCAGGAGAATCTGATGTCCTCTTCTGACCTCTGTGGGCATTGCATGACACAGGTGCACTTACATACATACATGCAGACAATACGCAAATACACATAAAATATTTTTAATAAATAAAGTGGAGGGCTGGTGAGATGGTTCAGCTGGTAAAAGTACGTGTTACCAAACTTGATTATCTGAGTTTAAGCCCCACAACACACATGGTTGGAGGAGAGAAATGACTCCTACAAGTTGTCCTCTGACCTCCACACATGTACTCGTGGCACATACACACAAAATAAATAAATAAATAAGCTTTTTAAAGATAGAAACCAATAGAGGAAGCCATTCTCCCATGAACCTATGGCACTACATTAATCTGGATTCCTTCCTCTTATCCACAATTCCTATTCTGGCCGATGTTTCTTAAAACAAGCATGAGCTGGTCAGAATCCCAAGGACAGGCCACTAAAAATGCAATTTCCTCACACTTGTCCCAAACCACAGGGCTTTGAAGGAACAGGGCTGAGAATCTGCATTCCTAAAACCTGCCCCTCGTTACTCCTATGCATACCCAAGTCTGAGTAGCATTTAATCTGACTCTTAGAAAACCTAGCTCCAGCAATAGTGTTACAATGGATTCTGCTTGACTCAGAAGCATAATCTCTCTTCTTTGTCATGAGCTTCCTCTGTGTCAGCCCCCTTTGCTGCTATACCTGGAATGCCTTCTCATTGTCTGAAGAATAATTACCTCAGCTTTGCTTTTAAACAGTCTTGAATCCATCTTAGTTTTCTAAACTTTCTCCTACCCCAGAGTTTCAAAGTGTGGCTTTATATCCCTAATGATGTTAAAAGGCACCTGGGATGAACCTCCTTTCTTTTTATTTTACAGCCATACTTATTTGAATGTTAACAAAGAAACTTCACAACTACAAGATCCAAACCTGTGATTTCATGATGTATAGTGGAGTTTGAGAAAGACTAAGTGAAAGTAAAAGAGCTGATTGTGTTAAATATTAAATAATCGCACAGGGTAGTACTAACAAAAAGTCTTAAATTTGGAAAACATTGTTCTGCCTGGTTCTCAGTACAGCCCTACTTATCCATTCTGCAGTCCTGACCACAGGCATGTTTTGCCTTTCTTCCAGCAGCATCCAGGCCTGGCTGACTGTTCCCTCTGACGGGTATCACTTTGAACATTACCTACACTTTCATGCTCAGTCGATATGCCTCCTTCCAGGAACCTTCCTGGACTCTTCCTGTCCTTCCAGCACATTCTCTGTTTGAACTTTTAACCTATTTATAGTACCATTCATTCGGAACCTAATTGCCACTTAAATTACTGTACATATCCGCTCAGTGTCCTTTCCCTAGTGAAATGCAAGCCCCTTGCAAGTAGTCTGTGACTTCTTTTACCCTTGGATTAGCTACAATCCTAAGCTTCCCTGGTGGGATTTGAGAACATAAGGGGAATTCAGTAGATGCACATGAGCACAGTGTGCAGCAGACTAAGGTATTCCACAGCAAAGACAAAAGTAGTTGCTTCATGCGCTCCACATCCCCTTACTTCAGGCTGGGTTTCTGAACACTGAAGAAAGGGATGTCTCTTCATTCCTCCCAGCTACGGAGCACAAAGGCTTGAGCCCAGAAAATTCTACCTAAGCAATGATGCTGTGGGTACACTTAGATGAAGAAAGATGGTCTCTGTCAGTCCTCTTGCAACTTGTCTCCCTTTCCATCTATGTTACTGGAGTCCCCATGTTCAGTTTGGACAGTGGCCAGAGCATCCCCTTAGCAAGAACCCCATGGGTCAGAACCAGCTCTGCCACTTGATTCATCCTGTGCTTTGAGTTTCTCCCTGCCTCGTTTTTAATCTGTCCAATGCCTGTCATATCCAATTCACACTTGCTACAAGGCAGAAGAGATAATGATTTTTGAAAGCACTTTATGTTATCACACACAATAAAAATGTCAGGGCCACAGCATATGAATCTGCAAGAATAATAAATAGCTGGGAGGCTAGACAGGCTGTTCCCCAATGGGCAAACAGTAAGTAATCAGAGGTGAGGGCCCAACTTCCAACCCACCTGTGCTAATCATGCAACCTTAGGTATCCATTTTGCTATTCTGGAACTTAGAGTCCTTGTCTGGAAAATTTGCCTGTGCACTCGAAGATCTAGTCTAGAGCCAAACCCAGTATGAATGCAAGCAGTATAAATGTCAGACAAGAGTTCTGACTGAACAGTTCCCTAGAAGTGCTGAGGGGAGGGAATGGCATCTTTATCTGCCCTGAGTTTGGGGTAGACCTTAGTTCAGTATTAACCAAAGACACTCAGACACATTCCTTCCCAACTAGCACATGCATGTGGATAAACCAGACCAACTATAAATCTTTCCTGCTCTCTACCCCATGGTTTATCCACTGCAAAGGGCCCCACCTTCTTGCTACACTAGTCAGTTTTCCTCCCCTTCCTCTGCAAAACCACTGGTGTTTAGTGTTGAAGTCTGGTTCTGAAGTTATCCTTCAGCTCTCCCTTGGACATGCACCGTGAGTAGGAGGAAAAGGACTACAAACCATCTGTAGAGAGGAAACAGGGAACCAATGGGGAGGAAGGGGAACAGAGGGCAAGGAGAACTGAGTTCTGGATTCTAAGGCTTGCCTGCTCTCCATTCAAAGTGGAAGCCACAGATCTTCTAAGGCTGAGCTGGTGTGACTTATTGGCGGTTCTCTATAAGCCCTGTAACCATGGTTTCCAGCAGGCTACATCACAGCAGGGAGCATGAAAAGAGCAGGCTTTTTCCCATTTCCCCCTAAAACTCCATATCCTTGAAAAACATGTAAAAAAAAATATAAAGCAATATGCCAAGGGGGTGCAGGTGCAACCTCTGATCTCTAAGAGGTTCATGAAGTTATCTGTTTGCCAGTAGAAAGGGATTCTTCTCCAACTATTCATGAGGAGGCTCAGCTCTCTCTGTATAGACCAAAGAACCCTCAAAATATATTCATCCATAGCAACAGATGGAAACATGTAACAAACCTGGAGATATGGATATTCATTTCCTAATTTAACACTATTCCTCCAAGAAGAGGAAAAAACTGACTTCTCTGTCCAAGTGCCAAGGTTGAATGCATTTGGTTTATGGTACACTGACAAGGCCTATTTCCAAATCTGTAATATTTGACAACGCAATCAGTTAAAAATCAACTCAATCTCAGAAATAGTGTTTGATCCCACAATATCTTGACAATCAAAGCATGCAAACCATATAACCTTAAGATTCGAAGAACTGACTTCCAGTGATCACACACAGAACCATTTTTTAAAATACCAGCATTCCGAATGAATGGGCAAACAAGCTTTCCTGATGTTTCTGGGACCCTAGAGGGGATATCAGTGGGAAAAACACCTCCTCCTTGTATGTCAGCAGATGAGCTAACCACTACACATTGATTTAGGAACGAGGAAGCTTTCCACCGGAGGGAAATATAAAACCACTCCTCCCTGGGCTACACAGGGCAAAGCCAGGATTCGAAAGAAACCTCCAATCTGAGCTCCACGTGCCTCTCCAAGGACAGAGGGACCCACCCACACACAGTCACTCAGCCAGCCCACCACGCGCCTGCAGAAGGCACCAGGTCCACAGCCAACCTCTGCACCTGTGTTCCAGGGGTTCTCCGGATTTGCAAGCCCCCTATACCACCCAATGACAGGACGTCACAAAGGGGCGGGGGTGCCCTCCTGTCAAATCTCATCTTTCTCATAGTAATGTCTACTTCTCCCCAGCTACGAAATTGCTTCTCCAAGGAAACTAAGACTTATATGCACGTACACACACATCCTGGTCGCCTGTAGGTCCCTGAGCCCCAGGACCAATGTCAAGGTGGCAAGTCTTTCCCCGGGACCCCACTGCCGGTCGCGGGCTCCTGGACGCGGAGGGGCTAGACTCACCCAGTCCTCGAAGTGGCGGCTCCCGTTCTGCAGCAGTTCCTCAAACTGGATGGTGCAGTTGGCCACGAAGTCGTCGTAGCCGATCGGAGCATCGTGAAAGACAGCCAGCTCGATCTTGCGCCCGTTGCACACATCAGTGACGAACTCGTCGTGCCAGGCCGGGCTGTTAGTCTTCTGCTTGGTGGCCGTTTGGCCGATTCGCGAGTCGTCCACGTTAAGGGCGATGTAGGGGTCCAGAAGGAAAGTCTGCGGCCGGGGTCCCACCGCATGGCGCAGCGACCAGGCTGTGGGCTTCAAGCTCACGGCCTCACAGATTTTTATCTTAAGCAGGCCATTGAACACTACCATGGTCGGGGCGGGGAGCGGGGGCCGGGGTCACTCCGTCCGCCCCGAGGGCAGGAATGAAGAGGCGACCGCGAGTGCGCTGGGAGCCACGGGGACTCCTGGGTCCCCTCTCGCCCCACCCCACTCACTCGCTTGCTACACCTTGTGGTTCTGCGCCCTGGCGCCGGCGATTCTCAGCGAGTGCATGTATTTCCTCGCCCGGTTCCTAACGGAAAACAGTGGGGCGGGGGGGGAGAGCTGGAGATGTCCGTGTTTGGAGCAAGTCTCTCCCCCCCTACCACCAGCGACACCTCCAACAGAGGAGAGGAGCTGTCGGCTCCACAGCAAGCCGCGGGGGCTGCCTCGCAGCCTTCTGGCTCTCCCGGTCCGGGTGCCGGGAAGTAGGCGCCGCGCTCGGCGCTCACCTACCTTTCCGAAACATAATCCCGGGGAAATTTCGAGTCCGGGAGGTGGAAGGGGGCGGCTGGACGGGGCGGGGACGAGAACCTGGGGCGCAGATTTCCACCCGGATCCTCTTCGCCCACCCAGAGCCTGCCTCGGACCGCGAGGGGCGGAGGGTGGACCGAAGGATGTGCAGCCTATCCGGAGGGATGCATGTCGAGAGGAAATGATCCTCCCCGGAGCCAAATTTTTGAAAAATCCACAAGCCGCTCAGCCAGCCCGGCCGCAGCCTTTGGGGTGAAGCACAGCCGCGCGGTAGCGGGCGATCGCCGAGGCTCGGGACCAGGGATCTCACACCCGCACTGGCTCTGGAAGTCAGGGCGGCCGCTCCGGCTCCGGGCGCAGGCCGGCACCCAGCGGTGCGCAGCGCGGCGGCGGGGCCGGGACTGCGACTCGGCGCGGCCCCACCTCCCCGGCGCCGGCGCCCGCCCGCCGCGCTCCCGGCGTACCCGCTTTCCGCTGCCGCTCCTCGCCGGCCGCCAGCCGGCTCTGGCCGCGGTCTCCGCTCCCTCGATCCGTGTGCGAGAGAGTCTCCCTCCCTCTAATGCAGGAAATGCGCAAAAGACGTCAGTGTGTGTGTGTGTGTGTGTGTGTGTGTGTGTGTGTGTGTGTGTGGGTGTGTGTGTGTGTGTGTGTGTGTGTGTGTGTGTGTGTGTGTGCACGCGCGCGCGCGCGCGCCACTGTTTGGGGAAATAGAAAGTTTTGCCGGTTGGGGGAGCAATACGGGAAAAGTGAGCCGAGGAGAAAACAGCAGAGAGCCGGCCACCCTGCCCTGGTCACAGCGGCGGAGCCTGAGACTCCGCGCGCCGGGACACCGCAGGGTGGCGGCGTTGGGGTGCTGGTGCGCTTGTCGCAGGTGGTGGCAACATCGTCCCGGGTCTGCACCGGAGACCAGCCGGCCGTGTCTGTCCAGCCGACCCTACGGGCTACACTTTGTTTTGGAGCCAGGGGTAGAGGAGTGGCGGTGGTCGCGGGGTCGCAGAAGACTCGGCACCCTCCCTTTGCCCTTCTGGGGTCGAGGCGATCACCGGCAGCTGCTGCAATGCTGGCCTGTCATTCGGTCCTAAGATTCTCCCCTCTGCCGCGATGGGGGAGGGGGCACCGGGACTGTCGAACCCCACCCCCCACCCCCGTGTGAGTTTTGAAACCTAATTCTTCTTTCTTCCTTTTCTTTGGGGGACACTTTCCTCTTGGGGAGCTGTCCCAGACTTTTTCAGGCTGCGAGAACTTGTGGACAAGTGGGAACCTTGTGTAACCCAGGCCCGACTCGGCTTGTGTATTTTTCTCCAAGGGACTCTTCCTATTTATGCGGGACCTTGTCTATGCCCTTAGGGGGACAAGACTGTGTTGGGCGCTCTGGCAGCGGCCGTCCCGGCAGCGGGAAAGTGGGGTGCGCCCTCCCAGGGAGCAGTGTCTGAGTCCATGTTAATTTCCTCCATAACCTTTAAACTCTCACTGGAAGCCGCGGTGGCTGGTCACGTGAGGCGAGCCCTGGGCTGCTGGGGAAGAATTTCCTCGGCGGGGAGCCGGGACTGGGAAGGCGGTGGGGCGGGAGATGGCCTTCCGCCCAGTGGATCGGGAACCTGGGAGGGCGTGTCGGACAGCTCCAGGCGCCCCGACCCTGAGCAGCTGAAACTTCCAGCACTGCACCTAGAAAGGGGCCGATCCGGCCGCTGAGGGCGGTGTAAGTGGAAAAATGAAGCCTCCGCCCTCACCGGTATGCCAAGTCCAGTCCGGGAGTTCGTAGGGATCGTGGAAAGCTGAGTGCTTGTCGACTCTGTTTAGTGTAGACCAAAATTTAGAACCCGCATCCCGCTCACTTTTTCCTCAGTGGAAAAAGGTTATCATTCCCTGTGGCTTAAAGGAGAGGACGGTGGTAGTCCCCCGGAACAAAGGTTATCAAGTGCAGTACACAGGTCCCCCCAAATGATCAAAAGTCCCAGTGCCACTGAGGTAGATCTCCTCCCAAAGCAGATGTCTGTAGTCGGGCCTCCAGAGCTTAGTAAAGTTCCTTGGAGCCGGCCCTGTTGCATGGGACAGCTGGGTATACAGATGGTGCTAAAATGCAGCCTTGGGAACAACTGAGATCTGAGATCATCTGCATTTAACAGTGTGTCCTTCAAGGCTACTCCCACAAGCTGGAGGTGTGATATTTTAAAATATCAGTTTGACATAGTGCAAGCCTGGGATATCTGTGCTGTTTAATTTCCAATTCTTTGAGCACTGGAATTTTTCCTCCTAGCTTCTCAACTCCACCACCCTATTCTTAATTTTTTTTATTAACCCTTTACTGCCATGCAAAACCTCATTCAACAAAATGTTTTAAGATTTTTAAAGCCATTTTAAAAATAAAAAGTAATGTATTTTTTCAGGATCAACAGAATGTCCCAATTTTAGATCATTTAAAGTAGTACACAATGTGCAATTTACATTACTCAGTTTATTGGCACCCATTAAGTTTTATATCTAAATAGAATGTTTCGTTTGCCTCGCCCTAGTCCTAGTGCTGTTGGGAAGGTCTAGAATGTCAAGGATTTCTTAAGTTAGATCCTTAACTACTTGGTGTTTCCTACCATCTCTAAATTGTGTCTGTTGGGTCCCATCTGACAAGCAAATAGAATTGGAATTGAAACATGAAATTGAAAAACATTGACCTAAATCTCTCTTTTCAGCATATTAAACAGGAAATAAGTTTAGAGTTAAAGAAACACAGCATTTGAACTCTTTTGGATATCTTATTCACCTCTCTCTTACCTCCCTGCTTCCCCAGACAAACATTAAATACTTAAAACATATTAAATAGGGTCCATTGACATCTCTGACTACCTTAAAACAGATAACCACACTTCAACAGTCTTGCGTGCATCCTGGTTAAGGTTATAGGAAAACAGCACCTGCCTCTTAAGAGATTATCCATGTACATTATCAGACTGCAGTTCTCAAGGGTAGCCTCCTCTCTGTTACAGGTCTTTTGCATTGTGATACCAAGCTCTTGGCCAAACAAAATGATTGTAGTGAATTAAGTGAATGTTTATATTAAAAAGGAGAATGCTGGTATGCTGCATGTAAACCCTGCTCTTGTTACATCCTTATTTCTAGATAAATTTCTTCCATTCCCACTCTCAAACTTAGCCAAATGAAAATATGGATTATCCAGGGACATCATGAATACATAGGACATGAACTGGTTTAAGGGAGGACTCTTAAATTTACCTGGAGGGGGGTGGGTCTAAAATAACTACATGCTTCAGATTTCTAGTAAAAAGCAAGCCTTGCAAGGGAGGGGTTAGAATGTAAAATTCTGATCAATAATTACTGCCTGCCTCTTCCCGTGGCCTCTGTATACAATGCTAAAGGACAGGAAGGTAATTGGTGTATGCACTGAGTTAAATGCCCTTTGGATTCTAACTTACAACCTAGTTATTTCATAATCTTTGAGAGAGGGCAGAAAGGAAGAAAAATGATGTAAGAATGTAGCAAAGATGTTCAAAATGGGGCCTTTCTTCTTTTCAAATTACAGCTCATGGGGACAGGAGTAACAGTGCAGCAAGTTTACCCAGGGCAATGCAATTGATGTTGCAATAGTTCCAGGAATGGGAGCAGCATCCCTTGCCTGGGGGAGCTTTGGAAGGCATCACTACAAGGTCCTTTGAGCCAGAGTTCCTCCAGCTGAAAAAAAAGGAAAGGGAAAGAGATTGAGGCAAAGAGAACCAACCATTCAGTATGTGGAACCAGCCATGGTTGTCTAGCCAGAATAAAGGACCAGGTATGCATAGCTTGTGGCCAGAGATGAGGTAGGCAGAAATACAACAGTTAAGTCTCCCAGGACATGCAAATGGGTTTGAACTGTTTCCTGGAAAGAGACTGAAATTCCAGTGGGCAAGAGGTGTTGCTGGAACTAGTTCTTTTTTAAAAGCAATTTTGGTGCTTGTGATAGAGTATTTACCTAGCATGTGTGAGGAAGGCCCTGAGTTCAATTCGCAGCACTTCAGTAGGGGAAGGGAGGATAGCAGATGGATGATTTTGTTTTCTTTAACTTTCCTGAAGCAGGCTCACCCCAAAACAGGGTGCCAGAAAGATTCACAGCTGAAGATGGTTTAGGTTCTGATTAAGAATGAAACAGTCTGTGAAAGTTGCTTAGCTCTGCTAAAGGCAGCAGGAAAGGAGGAGCCAGAACCTTAGAGGCGTGTGTTAATATTCATGAACCTGCTGCTGTGCTAGTTGTTGCCATTTATAGACTGTTAATGGGCCTATGCAAAGGTCTGCCTGGTCAGAGTCTACCACCCATCCAAGACAGGCTCCAGTGAACAGCATTCAACCTTACCTGGGCCTAGGAATGCTTCAGCTCAGTGACAAAAGCCTTCCACAGTCTGCTAGCCCCGCCCAGTCCCTCTCCCACACTCCAGTTTACTCCTAACTCTGCCCCTTCTGTGAGCTGGCTTTTAGCTGGCCTACCAAGGCTTCTTATTGTAGCCCCATCTCTGCTCTGAACTCTTCTGTAGTGACTCAAAGACCAATTTTCACTTGAACATGTGAGGAGAGACAGGGATCAGTGGTCACCACATAAAGATGGATGCAGGAAGGCAATGACCTGGTGCCCTTTCTTCCTCACTTCCTTGGACTGAGACTCCTAGGGCATCACCTGGAAATAACATCACATACATTCTTTTCTTTCTCAGCTGTTATGATGTATTGGAACATTTAAACACTTCTATTAATCCAAGGGTTTTTGGTAAGTACCTGCTATGTACACGATTCAGGGGTAGAAGATTGGAGGTTAGAGTTAGGCTCAATGGTAGAGTACTTACCTTGCATGTATGGTGCCCTGGGTTCAACCCTGGCACCAAAAAAAAAAAAAAAAATTCTAAGAAAAAGTACACAAACAAATAAAATACTGCTTGACATTAGGTAGGCAAATAAAAGATC